GTGTGTGTGTGTGTGTGTGTGTGTGTGTGTGTGTGTGTGTGTGTGTGTGTGTCTGCTGGGAGATTTGAAAAGAAAAAGTAGATGTGTGCTTAAGCAGCACCCAAATGAACATGGGAGGGGACCCTGCCCCATCCCACTCTTCTGTGTGGCCCTGGGTCTTCTAAGCTGGGCCCTCTGTGATATGAAAGCTGTAAAAAATAAATAAATAAAAACCACCTGGGGATGCCCTGGGAAGTGGAGGCTTTCCTGCAGTGGAGCCGGTATCGGCAGGGATAGGGTGAGCTGGCCAGTCCAGCAAACCTGGCAGAGTCCTGCTTGGTGGACCCAGTCGTCAGGGAAAGAGAGCAAGCCTTCGGGGCCAGAACCACGGGGCCGGAGGGCACTCATCCAGCCTAGGTTCACTGGTGGGAAACCGAGGCCCAGACAGGGGAGGAATTGTCTCAGTTCCTTTGTGGCAGTGTCAGAATTCAGCCTCTTGGAAGCTGGTGGAGCCACTGGCTAAGAACAGATCCCAGCCTGCAGACAAACTCAGCAGGCTGCCTCTGCTCCTGCCACAGAGCCAGCTTTCCGCCATCAGGCTGTGCAAACCATGCAGCTTCTGTGCACTTCTCTCTCCCTCCTAAGGAAGGGGAGACGCCTCCTTGCCCGTTCTCACTCAAGGGTGCCTGCCAGAGGGCCGGTGTGAAAGCAGGTTGAGGCTTGGGAGGAAAGTGGCTACTACAGGACCTCTGGCCCAAGGCTTTACACCCCCAGGAGGGGGCAAGGGGGGCAGTAGCCCACCTGGCCCTCACTCCGCTGACTCCTCCCCGGCAGGCACACACTGCATAGGGAAGAGGGCAGGGGAGGCTGCGCTCCTGCTGCTTAATCCCAAGCCTCAGTCAGTGCTTTAAAAAGAATGGATGGCTCATCCGCTAAAGCGGGGGTCTGGTTGCCGGAGGCCCAGGAGGTCAGGGATGAGCGCCAGGCCCACCCGCTGTGCTAATCAGGAACAGATCATCCAGGGACGGGAGCCAGCGCTGACGCCAGGGAACGTTAACCCTCAGCTGCTGGAGCCAGGGCTACAAGTCCCAGGAAAGCTGGGGCACCTCCCCTGCCGAAGGTGGTACCCAGCAGCTCTCCTCTGGGGCTGTGAGGAAAGGAACAGAATGGGCTGGGCCAGGCAGACCCTCTTCCTCAGGAGGGGCCAGATAGGAACCAAGAGGTGACTGTTTAGTTATGCTCAGCTGAGGTCATCGCATGAGGCCAAGGAAACTTTGGGGGCAGCCCTTGGTCCGGGCTAACAATCCACAGTCATCCAGTCTTTCTTAGGTGTCCTTCGTGGACGTCCAAAGGTACCAAACTCTTAGGAACTGGAAGGAGTAAATAAATGCCCACCAGGATTGACATTTGGCAGCCTGAGCCCCCGACACCCCACAACAGGCCCTCCAGGCCAAGGACCTCTGATGAGGCCGGCAGGCCCACCGGCCATGTCATGAACTTAGAGAAATGGTGCCCTGTTCACACTCAGGTCAGAACACAATACACACACACACACACACACACACACACACACACACACACACATTCCAGCAGGCCCCCCCGGGAGAGGCAGGGGCCAGGACAGACCTGGGCTTCGTGGAAACAGACAGGACAGGGCTGAGGTGCTAGTTTCTCCTGCTTCCTTCTTCATGCCCAGGGTCTACATCAGGTCCAAGCCCGGCAAGGACCCTCCCAGGTCAGAGGCCTGACCCCCAGAACTCCCACTTAGAAGTGATGTCAAAGCCATTCCAGGGACTCCCCCAAGCATACTAGAGCTTCAGCAGCAAACAGACCCTCGGAAACCTGGTGGTGACACTGAAGCCCACGTCTGGGAGAGGACCTAGCACAAGAACCCAAAGCAGCTAGCTCGTGGGCCGCCCACTCTCCTGTCCTGCCTCACCATATCTATGGATTCGCTCTCTGATCCTTGCGGCTCCTCCAGACCAATTTGATCCAACCCTACTGGGCACCAACTGGGGGCCCAGACCTGAGCCTCAGGAATACAAGGGAGGACCCCTCTGTTGTGACCCCCTTATAAGAAGAAAGGCCATGTGGCCCACTGTGTCCCCGCCCTCAGCCAAGGCCTGGTTCCAAGTAGATATGTGACTTAGAGGTCAAGAGAGCTCCGAGTTGGGCAGACATGCGTGCCACTCATGGCCCCACCATCAGCCAGCAGTGTGACCCTGGGCACCGCTTCCCCTCCTCATGAGTGAAATGGGATGACAGTGCTGCTGTGTCATTTGGGTTGTTGCAGGGACTGCGGATGATGCATTTGAAAACTCCTAAACATGAGGCCTGGCACACAGTGAGCACTCACTGTTGTCACTTTTAATTCGCTTACAATCTTGTTGAAAAATCAAGTTGCACAGATATAAAATAATTAAATGGTAAGAGGAGGCATTTTTTGAATCAGAGCTAAATTGTGAAGTCCGGGTACAAAGCACGAAAGGGATTCGAGGAAGGAAAGTCCTCGGTGGCCTGTAGTTTTTCAGCAGCACTTAGAAAAATGTCAATGTCTATCACTTATATAGTACCTACTATGTGCCAGGCACTCATCAAACCTTTACAACCAACCCCGGGAGGTCCGTAGACCCATTTTATAGATGAGAAAACCAAGTCATAGAGTTTTGCCCAAGGTCACACACTTGTAAACCAGAATGAGAAGCTGGGATCACACCCAGGGGGTTGGACCCAAAGTCTCCATGCCCAACCTTCATGCTCACTTAAGCATTCTCAGGTTGGGCTTTGAAGCATAAACAGAGTTAAGCAAGCTAGGAGGAGGAGAAGGCTCTCCAGGTGAGGAAACCAGTGCAGGTAATGGCTCAGAGGTAGGACTGAGTGTTGCATATGCAGGAAGAGTGAGGACAGCCACTCATCTTGAGTCATAGAATAGCCTTTGCACATCACAGTGATCAATCGTCTGGGAAACTGAGGCCCAGAGAAGGCAAGGCCCTGCCCCAGGTCACACAGCAAAGCAAGGGCAGGGTTGCAGCTGGAAGCCGGGGGCAGCTCCCCAATGTGGGGCTCTGCTCACTCAGCTTGGGAGCACATGGGATGGTGGATAAGCCAAGCTCAAAGCATGAAGCCCGCCTCTCCTCTGTCACCTTGGGCCGGCCCTCACCCTCTCAGGCCTCCGTTCCCCTGTCTACCCACTGGAGAGAGAACCCCCAACCCTCAAACCTCCCAGATGCTGGGACCACATGGGGAAGGGATGGGCAGATGCCTCGTGGAATAAGCATGCACCTTGACTTGGCAGGTTGTTGCTCTCGCAGCCATGACTCTGCCCCACAGCCCTGGAAATGGTGGGGGGCCCCAGCCCCCCCAAGTAGTGGAGGTCCACAGGCTGGAACACCGCCAGGAAGAGGAGCAGAAGGAGCAGCGGCAGCACAGTCTGCACATGGGTTCCTCGGTGCGGAAGCGGACCTTCCGCAGCAGGTGGGAGCATCAGGGATCCTCCCCCTGCCACTGCCTTACCCCCAGGGTCCCCAGTCTGAGGGGGGAGGCACAGCCCCGTTCTCTGGAGACTTCCCCAGTCTGAGGTGGGAAGCCCACCCCTCTTTGTGGAAATCCCAGCCTGAGGGGAGAGACACAGCCATGCCTGCTAGTCCCTGATGCTGAGGTGGTTAGATGCGGCCCTAATCTCAGGGGGCCCCAGCCAGGACCCCAGCCAAACCTTTAGCAGTCATTACTTTTCTTTTTCCGGGGTCAGTGAGGAAGAGTATCAGTTCAGCTCTGCAGACTATGCCCTCGCAGCTGCCCTGGCTCTGACGGCCTCCTCAGAGACATCTTGGTAAGTCAAGTGACTTTTCCAGAGAACCCTGGGCTGAGAAGGGGGCATCCTGTCCAGTCCCCTGCTTCCCTACGGGGCACCCACACTGAGCTTAAAGAAGTTGCCCCAAGTGACACATCTAGAATAAGGGGCTAGACCAAGGTTTAAGCCCAGGGCTGTCTGACCACAAAGCCCACCCCACTGCTCTCTGGGTGAATCCACAGGCAGTAGTGAGGGACCAACCCCAAGGGAGAGGCCAGGGGTCCACCCTTCACCACCGGGGTTTCACATGGTCGGGGGGAGAGCTGGGGAGAGGCGGGGCAAGTAAACCAACCCCAAGTTTCAGGCATGAGTCGCAAGACTGGGAAGGCCTCTCAGTGTGAGGACATTGGGAGGCCACGTCCTGGGCTGGGAGGCCTGGGTCTTGGTCCTAGCTGGTCTGAAACAAGTCACCGAGCCTCAAGTGTCTGTCCCATAAAATAGTGAAACTAATGCCTGTCCACTTGTTGCAGTGAAGTCAAGAGGAACAGTGGTTTGTGAAACAGCCTTGAGAACTATATCCATAGTAGTTATTATGCACCTACTGTAAGCAGGACCCACTCAGGGTACTTCGGAGGCAAGAGAGGCTTAAAAGTTGCTCTTGTCTTCAAGAACCTTAAAGTGCAGGTGGGGATGGCACCGACTGGCCCCCCCAAGCCTGGGCTCTTGGCCACCGGTGTCCTCTGACAATGTCCTCTGCAGGGAGGCCCAGCTGAGGCGCCGGACCTCCACCGTGGAACTGGTGGAGCGAGGGCAGAAGCGGGTGGGCTTCGGCAACGACTTGGAGAGGCTGGAGCTTGCCTATCTGCGGACCCAATGGCTGCTGCGTCAGAGGCGGGACCGGAAGGCACTAAGGCAGCGGGTAAGGGGGGTGGGCTGGGGACCCCCGGGGCCCTGGGACCCATCGCATGCCACCCACCTTATCCTACCCCTTACTCAAGAAGCAGCTGGACATTAGGAAAGATCCCAGACCCTGGACATCAGCCTGGGTTTGTACCCCAGTGCCCCCACACTCTAACTTAGGCAAGCAACTGATTTCTTCCTGAGCCTCGGTTTTCTTATCTGCAACATAGATGTATGTGGTTGTACCAACTCTCAGTGTTGAGATGGGAATTAGGTGAGACTGGGCTCATAAAGTCGCTTTCCCAGTGCCTGGAACTCACAAGATCCTCAGGAAATGCTATTCCTGACAAATGTCAGGGATATTTGTCACCCTCCGTCCCCCTCCCTGGGCAGGTCAGCAATAGCTAATACTTAATGGGCCTTTTCAGCATCCATGAATTAACTCTTTGAATCCTCACTACTACTCCATAGGAGGCTGGGGGCATATTATTATCATCACCATTTTACAGGTAAGGAACCTGAGGATTTGCCTCTTGTCTCTAGTAAGTAGCAGAGTTTGGCCTTGGCTTCAGGCCACTGGTTCCAAGGCCCATGTTCTGCCCTCTGGTTCACACAGTTGCTGCTGAAGGGGGCTCCATGTGGGTCTGACTCCAGAGCCTTGGTGTCAGGGAGAGAGGTGACAGTGAAGATGGTGCCCTGGTTCATAGGAGCCACAGACTTTCTCCTGCTTCCAGACAGAGGAGAAAGTCCGCGAGGCCAAGGAGCTGAGGGAGCTGTGTTCCGGCCGGGGGCCCTGGTTCTGGATACCCCTTCGCTCCCACGCCGTCTGGGAGCGCGCCACAGTCCTGCTGACCTGTACTGTCCAGGCCTCGCCTCCACCCCAGGTCACCTGGTAAGCCACTGGGCAGGAGAGAAGGGTCCTCGACCTACCTCCACGCTCTGAGCCTCACGGTTACGTGAGTATGAGTTCTTTACAGCCCAGCACCTCCCAGGGGCCCAGTCTATCCCTCAGAAGTCCCTGCAGCCTTAGAAAAGCTGCAGCCCCACAGACCCTAAGCTCTGCCCACCCCTCAAACAGAGCAGCAGCTGCTGAAGAGGCTCAGGAGGGGTTATTCTTAGCTGCCTCCCTCTTAGCCTAGGGCTAGAAGACTGGGCCACTGGGGAGCCAGCACTTGTAAAAATATGATTCTGGTGGCATGAGAAGGCAGCTGCTCCCAACTGGGTGTCTCCAGGGTTGGAGGATGATGGTGGGGGGCAGGGAAGGGGGCAGGGGAGCAGGAGAGGAGGTGGGGAGGGCAGGGGCCTTACAGTGAGGAGGAGGGACTCAGGCCTGGACTGGGAGCCCTGTACTCCAGGCTTAGCGTTCATTCTCTCTCTCTCTCTCTCTCTCTCTCTCTCTCTCTCTCTCTCCCCCTTTCCCCTTCTCTCCCCTATCTCAGTGTGTGGTCTCAACTATATCTCTTAATCTCTCCAGGCCTGCCTCAGTTTCCTATTCTGTAAAATGGGTTAAAGACCACTGGTGCAGCTTGTATGTGGTGAGGATTTCATGCCACAACAATGCGGAAGCCCTCAGAACTTGAAAGGTGCTGGGAAAACAACAGGGGATGCCGTTCCTGGGAGTGTACCCGTAACAGAACCACAGAGTCTAGGCCTTGCTGGTAGAGGGTGGGGAGGTGGCAGGTGTCTCCTGAATGAGCACGGCGGAGTTAGGTTTCGGCATGGTCATATCCGGGGTCTCAGTTCTACCCCAGGGGGAGGTGTATCCTTCACACAGCTGATCCCACTGCTTCCTGAGTTCTCCTGGGTCTAAGGCATGTTTGAAGACAAGGAAGGGATTTCAGTGAATATTTACCAGGAGCATAATCTGTCCCAGGCCCTAGGTTGGGCACTGAGTCGGAAAAGACCCAGACACAGTCTCACCTCAAAGAAGTCTCAGTCCAGAAGAGAAATGTCAATACGCAGAGAAGTATGTTCCAGGGTGACATTTGTGGTAAAAGAGTAGAAGAGGAGGAAGTGGCTGCCTCTGAGCGGAGGATCCAGGAAGGCTTCTCAGAGGAGGTGACATTTAAGCCAGATCTTGAGAGTGAACAGACCATGGTCTAGTAGGAGAGAGGAGATTCGCACATAAATAACCAAGATCACAAAGGAAAAAGCAACATCTTAGGCTTGAACCCGCTTTACATTGACCCAGCACTTTTCTCTCATTTGAACCTCAGGGCTACCCATGAGGTAGGGACTATTATCCCCATTTCACAGGTGAGGCTGTCAAGGCTCAGAGAGGCACTGTGACTTGTCAAAGATCACACAGCCAGTGTGAGCCAGGATTCAAACTCAGGTCTTTTGCCTTAAAGCCTACATAGAGACTCAGAAGTCAGAGAAGCGGAAAGCACTTAGGCCAGGAGCAATTAAGAACGTGCCTTGAGGGAGTTGGCGTGGAGGCTGGTTATTGTCGGATGGCATTCATTCAAAAAAGTGTGCCAGGCACCATGCTGGCACTGGAATTCCATGGGGACTGAGGCAGTCTCTGCATACAAGTTGCTGGTCCAGTAGGAGGACAGCTGAGCTGGGCTAAGTGGGGGTCAACCCCTCAGCTGTCCCGGCAGCCACACCCTGCCCTGCCTGGCACTGAGGCCCACATCTAAGACATTCTGTGGGAGCCTCTTGACAGAGAGACTTGTTTCCACCCCTGCCAGCAAGGTTGCCACAACAGAGAGCTGAGCATTCCTTATAAGTGGTGGAAGTCAAGGCCAGGCCTACCTCTAGCCAGAGGGGCTCAGGTGGCCCCTAAGGCTCTTGGCTTTGGGGACTGGTTTTATACCATCAGTCACCTCCGGTGGGGCCATAGAGCATCCTGGGTGTGACCTTCAGAACTCTGTCCAGGTCCCAGTAGAGACCCAGCCCCCAGGTAACGAGGAAGAGCCTGGCCCACCGGGCTTGTCAGGCGAGTCCATTCTTCAGCAGTTATTGAATACTTCCTGAACACAGGGGCAACAATAGGGCTAGTTAGGCACGGCCCCAGTCTGGCCACGTTTATGCAGCAGAAGTGGGCCCCGCCATGATCCTACCTGATGTCAGAATCAATCTCCTAGTCCAAGCAGCCTTAAAAAGTAAAATCTAATACCAAAGTCTATTAAGGAAAAATAAATGTAGAGAAATCATGAAAATCTCACTGTTGTATGTGGACCTCTCTAACCCGGGCTCCGGGCTGGGGTGCCTAGCCTCAGCGCTATCATCTAGTGCTTGTTATGATTTGCTGCTGCTCGGGGGCATCAGCGTAGCCCATGCCAGCGAGGGCCCACCGTACAGGCAGGAGAAGCCCAGAGAGAGGACAAGAGGAGCACTGAGGTCCCTGGCTATCCAGGTCATTCCAGAACTGCAGCTGCTGCTTTTTTCCGGGCAAGGCAGGGGCTGGCCAGGCTGAGGTGTCTGGAATGTTCCTGATAGGTGGGGGTTGGGGTCCTGACCTTGTCCCCCAGGCCTGGGAGAGGTAGAGAGATTGAGCACCCAGATTAGGTACCGCCCTCCCCACAGGAGACCTAGTTAGGATCCTTTCAGAAGAGGGTGTAGCCTGGGGGTGGTGTGGTAACCCATGGGCATGGCACTGTTTGGTTGCCATGGAGACAAACAGGGCATGGAGGGGAGCCAGGCCCAAGGAAAGCAACACACCGAGCCTGGGGCTCCCTCTCTCGGCCGAGGCCTCCTCTTTAATCTCAGCCACCACTGGGGCGGACTATCATGCAACGGCCTCATGGACACAGAGGCCCACAGAGGTGGACGGACTTGCCCAAGGTCATACAGCAAGGTGTGTCAAGAACCCAGGCCTCCTAGCTTTCACAGACTTTCACCGAGCAGCCTTGACTCCTCAGGCCTCAGACCACCCCCCACACAAATGGGCTATGGACAGAGGCACGGCCATCTCACTGTCTAGTGTCCACAGAAAGGAGAGCAAGGCCCCAGGGTTCACAGGAAACAAACAGGGTATCCAGGAGCAGCGAAGTGACCCACTGGGCCATCCTTAGGAATCACCTGAGAGTTTAAAAAATACTGATGTACAGGCCCCGCCCCCAGAAATTCTGATTTTTATTGACCTGGGATGCAGCCTGGGCATGGAGATTTTTTTTTTTTAATGACTTAAATAAGATAAAAGTGTATTTCTTTTCAAACAGGCTTGTATCATCCAGTCAGTCTTTCCATGGGTAGCTTCTCATGACCTCTGACTTCATAATCCTAAGCTTCCTTCACTCACTCAACCAATATTTAATGAGCAACTACTATGTGCCACACTCTGTGTTAGGCAATGAGGCTATAAAGCTGAGTAAAACATAATATTCCCTGCTCTCATGAGTCTGCACTCTGACAAAAAAATCTCCTGTAGCCTGTGAAATGTTGCTGAGTTGTGGTGCTCGATATCAATAAACAACCTGATTTTTGTACAAAAAAAAAAAAAAGATAAAAGTGTATTTTTCTTTCATATAAGTGTCTGATCTAGACAGGGTGGGGCTGCTAAACAACTCAGCTCACAGATTCCTCAGGGACTCAGACCCATTCTGCTCACTGCTGGAGGGCGCAGGCCGGGCCTCCCCTGTGCGAGATGGCAGAATTCACATATTCTGGCCACAGGAAGGAGGGAACGATGACATAAAAAGGGGCAGAAACAACTCTATGACATTTGTCTTACTTTCTGTTGACAGTTCTTAGTCACATAGCTACATCAAGCAGTAAAAGAGGCTAGAAAAAATGTTATATGTTGAGTGGCTCCGTGACAAATGCTATTCCTTTAGAATAAGAGGAGAACGCCTATAGGAGAATAACTAGCAGTTTCTAATGAAAATTCCCAAAGGCTTCTGTTTACAATCTGGGCATGGAGATTGTTAAAGCTTCCTTTAACGAGTCTAACAAGAGCCAAGAGATAAAGAACTGCTGTCCTGGGGGGTCAACAGAGGAGATGGGAATGGTAGTACCTGCTCTGGCAACGCCCCTCAGAGGGAAGGGAAAAGCTGGGGCCTGGTCCCCAGAGGTACCCCAATAAGGGGAGGAGCAGCTACCCCTGATTACAGGCTCCCTTCTTCCCTGCCCCCCCAGAAGGGGAATGAACTCTTGAGCATCTGTAGGGCACAAGAGAAAATCTTTACCTGTCTTAACCCATTTAATCAGCACAGCAACCCTAGGTCAGTGCTATTCCCATTTCACAGATGAGGACAACTGAGGTTCCAAGTGGTGAAAGAGGCTCCAGACCCTTCCTCCTCAGAACCATACTGCTTGCCACAGACCACTGTGTCTCCACAGGTACAAAAATGACACGCAGATCGATCTCCGCCTCTTCCCCGCTGGAAAGTACCGAATCACTAACAACTATGGGCTACTGACCCTGGAGATTAGAAGGTGAGACTGTGTGCCCTGGAGAGACCCTTGATCCCCTGGGTCCCAATAACCCCAAAGCCAGAGCAGGATTCCAAACCCTTCCCCGGAGCTATCTCCCCAGTGGGCCTCATCTTCAGAAATGCCTGGGGTGCTTGTTAAAATATTGATTCATGGAATGGACCCTCCTCTCATCCCCAGAGATTCAGATTAAGTAGGTTTGGAGTGGAGCCCAGGAATCGGTATGTAACACAGTCCCCCATGGGGTTCCAATGCCATAGAACACACAATGAGAAATGTGGACCCAGAGGCTAGTAGCAAGAGCAGAATGCCCTTTCAGCCAGCTCTCTCCATCTGGGTTCTTCCCAATACACCAAACCCCCCACCTCAACCAACTTGGGTTTCAGAGACACAAATATGAACAGGGCATTGATCCTGCCCTCCAGAAGCAAAGTAGGGACACATGGACATAAATACCTGACCATAAAACGCCACAAAGGGAGGTGTCCCCATGGGCTGCACAGTCACAGAAGGCATGCAGGACCGGGGGAGCTTGTGGTAGCAGATGGGACTGGCCCTTGAAACAAGAAAGATTCCTGCCCCCCAAGCAGCCAGGGAAAGTGAAGGGGGCACCAAGGGACCTCCCTGCTTACTGATGGGGCCGGATAAGCCACATCCTACCAACTACCCTCTTTGTCACTAAGGTGTCCCTGGGATGGAGCTGGCCCAAGCCTCCACTGGAAACATAACAGGGTTGGCCTGGCTCGTGGGGACACCGGACCTGAGATTGAGAACACCCGGGCATCTGGCCCAGTTCTGGCACAGGCTGGCAGTGCCTCGGGCAAGCCCAGGCCCCTGCTCCAGGCTTCTGATCTGGAGGTGTTGATAGGGCAGGAGACAAAGTCACTGAACCTCTCTAATCTTGCAGAGTCAGTAATAAGAATTATATTTTCCAAGTACTTCAACCTGAGGTGGGTTAGGCTGATGTACGTCCCCAGTTTTTCAGAGAGGGACACTGGGGCATGGAGAGGGGCAGTGAGTGGCCAGTCCAAAGGCACACAGTTTTTCAGAAGTGGGGCCTGAGCCAGAGCCTAGAATCTCCCCTGTGAGGCCTTCCCATTCACCCCTGCCTTCCCCACATGCAGGTGGGGATCCCATGGAGCCCAGCAGTCCTGGGGGGTACTTCTTCCTCTCTCCTTTTCAGATGCACCATGGAGGATGCAGCCACCTACAGGGTGATGGTGAAGAATGCCTTCGGCCAGGCCTCCTCCTTCGCCAAAGTCCTTGTCCGCAGTGAGTCCTCCAGTCCCCAAAAGGCCAGGCCTGCCCACAGCAAATCCAAGATGAGCAGATGAGGACACGGGTCTGCAGTCAGGCTCAAGGAAGGGCCCCTGGAACTGGGGTATTTGGCCTGGGATCAGGTGACCAGGCCAGCCACAGAAACATTCGCTTCCCTGGGGCCAATGGAGCAAGTGAGCCTCCGCCCTCAGACTGCACAATTTATACAACTGTCTCCGAAGAGTGTGCTTGTCCTGTCGGGGTGGACGTGGGTCCAGATCCAGCTCAGGGCCTGCAGGAGCCCAGCCAGCCCTGCCAGCCCTGCTGAGAGGTCCTCAGGGGCAAAGGCCAAGCCCTACCAATTCCCCTCCTGACCCCGATTCCCCCATTTAGGTTCTGGTGCTATTACCTAGTTGGGCATCTGAAGGTCACCCTGAGGGCATCTGAAGTCACAGCATAAAAAAGGGGAGACGCTCAGGAGTCAGCAAGACCCCAGTTCACATGCTGGCTCTGCCATTGACTGGCTGTGTGAGCCTGGGGAGGCCACTTCCCATCTCTGAGCCTCTGCATCTATACAGGAGACCCTTACTACCTCTGTCAGAGCCTCACGTTGATTAAATGAGATAGTATGGGTAAAGCTAGGCTATGTTAGGCTCTAGGGAAGGGATAACTCTCCCACCCCCAGCTCATGACCAGGGCAGAACACAGCCCAGGAAGCCATACCTCTGGGTCCAGGACAATGGCGCTCCCTGACCTCAGGACCCCTGAGAGGGACGCTGCATGTGTGCATGTGTACACACACACACTCCCTGGGCAGCAGACCGGCTGGAGTCCAGCCCCTGCTCCCCACCTCTCATCAGATCTTGTTAAACCATCCTTCATAGTCTTCTCCACCCACTTGCCCTCTTCCCCAAATAGCTCTTGAGAGGCAGCTGTCTCCACTGCCAGGCCAGGCTCTGTGTGTAGAATTTGAGCTGTCCCTATAGGCTGTGCCCAGAGTCGAGCCCAAGGTCAGGCATCAGGGCCCTGCCCGCTCTGTCCACCTTTTCTTCCCTACACTTCCTCCAGATCCCCGCCCCTCCCTCCATCGAGGCCAGCACGTTCAGATCAATCAGGCTTTTCCTTGGCCTCCGGACTCCAGCCAGGCTTCTACTAAGATTGGCTACTCACTGCCACTACCACCCCTCCCCCTGGTCTCAACTCCATAGCAACTGCAGTGGTCCCAGTGGAAGGCCTTGGGCTGGGAGGCAGAAGCTCTGAATTCTAATCCTGAGTCTTCCACCGATTCTGTGTGACCTTGGGTAGCCTCCTGGCCCTCTCTGGGCCTCGCTCAGGAAGTGCCTTTCCAGGGACCAGTGTCACACGATGGCTTCAGGCTAGCTGGGTGGCTTTGCCTCAGTTTGCTCATCTGTAGAGAGGATTTAATGACACCAACAGACAGGGCTATTGTGAGGGTTAAACACGTTAATAAGCAGCACGTGGTACTCACTACGTGAACAAACAAAAGCTGTTACTGTTCTCTGGTGTTCTGTGCCGACATTTCCTCACCCTGACGCCCCCAGAGGGCTCTCTGAGCGCTGCACCTTCCCCTGCCAGCATTCCCTGACCCCACCAGAAACCCCAGAAACCCCACTTTGATCGGGCCCTACCTCTATGAAGACAATGTGTGATGCTGGTGGTGAGAGGAAAGAAACCACCATTTACTGAGCACCTACTATGTGTCAGGCTCCGGCTGAGGGTTTTGTTCATGTGAACTCAGGTGTTCAGAACCCCACCACCATCAGGTAGGAATCGTGGTCCTCATTTTACTGAGATACAGGGGACAAAGGGATTTTCCCAAAGCCAAATGGGGACCCACTGATAGACCAGGACTCAAACCCACGCCCAAAGGCCATGCCTCCACAATATAGTGGGAACGTGGGTCCGAACCTTCTCAAACTCCGTGTGCTCTGGGTTTTCAGCTTACCTGGGGAAAGATGCTGGCTTCGATTCGGAGTTCTTTAAAAGTAAGGAGGCTGTGGGAGGGGCGGGGCTTCGGGGGGAGGGTGTCTGGGACTCCTTGTCAGTCCTCTCCACTGCCCTCCTTTAGGATACAGCCATTCATTGCCCACTAAGGGATGTCCACGTGGGGTTTGCCTATGAGCTGCTAACATTTGCAGACTGGTTTCTGAGGCTCCCAAGGCAGCTGCTGAGCTAGCTGTCCTGTGGCCAAAATTGAGCAAAAAAGGCAAAGCCAAAAAGACAAATGGCCTTTGGATAGTTGTTATTTCAGCTCATCTGGTCCCACCTAGACAAATCTCTTCCCTACCCCCACCCTCCAGGACCAGGCCCCTCTTCTCCTTGTTAAGATCATCACGAGAACTCCCAACCCAGAGGAGTGGGGGCACCCCCAGAAGGGTCCTCGCTCCCACGTACGCCCCAAGCTAGCTTGGCGGCCTCAGAAGACTTCTGCCCTAAATTTCTGTTCCCACCCAGGACTGATGTTTGGTCCCAGCGTGGAGTTCACATCGGAGCTGAAGCCAGTCTTTGCCCATGAGAAGGAGCCCTTCTCCCTGACCTGTGTATTTTCGGAAGATGTGTTAGATGCTGAGCAGAACATCCAGTGGTTCCGAGACGGTGAGGAGCCCCAGTCCTGGTCTCCAGCCTTCAGAGGCAGAGGTGGAAGAGAGGCACTAGAGAGCCCTAGCTGCATTCCTAATCCTGAGACCCCCAGAGGAGAGAGAAACTCAGCTATGCTCCTCAGCCAGTACAAGCTGAGTTACTGGTGCTGAAAAGGCAGAGGGAAACACAGCATAGCCAGGTGGGTTCAGATCAAGTCACCCTACAAATGGTCACTGAGCACCAATTGGGTGCCAGGACAGGGACAGGCACAGACATGCGTGAGCTCAAGGGGTTTTCCATCTGGGAGGAGGGAGGAAGTGAGCGCACAGTTGTGGCCACTGCCCATTGGGAGCCTGTGGTCAGGCCCTGGCTCGGCCCAGTGCATCTGTGGGATGGTCATCAGCACCCTAGGGGTGAGTTATGACATTCAAAGCAACAAGAACAGAAGCCAAGGCCAGGGGGCAGGATGGCACAAGGAATGTCAGGGAAGGCTGTGACAGTTGCACAAAGCTTTTCAGAGTTGAGGTGAGGGTGCAGGTAAATAATCACTACCCGTGAACTGGAAGACCCCTGAGGATGTCCCAGGCAAGGCTGGAGAAGGCCAGTCCGCTCAGGCAAGAAGAATTGGCCCAGCCAGGGAGGGGATGAACAGCTGGATCTCCTGCCCCATCCGTGACCAGGCTTGCCACCAAAGGACAAGGAGTGCGACACCCACCGGCACCCTTCAGCTTTGAGCCTAGGGAGGCTGCAAATTCTGGTGACAGGGGCGGAGGAGTGCGGGAGCCATGAGGAGCCCTGAGAAACAGCTGCAATAACAAGGCTGAAATGTTTTCTCAACCTGTAGACTTTCCGGAATAGAGGTGCTGACAGGAGGAGGGAGGGGCCTTTGAGTGGGACACAGAGCAGGACAGCCCAACAGTGTGGCCTCAGAGCAGGGCCCACTCCCTGAGTCCCAGAGCCCCTTCACTGAGTCCCCATCCCTTTCACTGAGGTCCTACCGACCACGGAGTCCCCTCTCTCCTCGCTGACCTCTACCCCCCTCACTGAGCCATTGACCCTCCTCACTGACATTCGAACTCTCTCAGGACCCCTTCCTGCGTCCCCACTCCCTCTCGAAAAGCCCTCACTTCCTTCATTCAGATCACATCCCCCTCACTGAGCTCCCCCACTCCCTACGTAGAGCCCAGACCCTTCGGTGAGTCCCCTGCCCCCTCACAGAGCCCCTGACCCTCACACAGGGCCCCATGTCTTGTTTCCACTTCCTCACAGAACTTCCAACTTCTCACTGAGCTGCCAGCCCAACCCTAAATTCCCTTCATTCCCTTCATTGAACCCCCAGCCCCTTCCCTGGGCCCAGCCCCACCCCCCAAGCCTTCTACAGAAGAGAGTTCAGCAGCCACCTTGGCAAAGCTCCAGAGGTCAGCACCCCCCTCCTCGACTCGCCAGCCCCACTTCTGCCTAGATCCGCAGAGCATCTACAGGTTCCCAGGTGAGGCCAGAGGCCCCCATGAGCTCACACTGGACCCCTTCCCTCCACAGGGAGGCTCCTGAGGTCCTCAGAACACAGGCAGACCCTCTATGCAGACCGGCAGGCATCTCTGAAGGTGTCCTGCGCCTACAAGGAGGACGAGGGGCTCTACACGGTCCAGGTGTCTTCACCCTTCGGGCTCCGGGAGCAGAGTGCCTATGTGTTTGTAAAAGGTGAGGGGGGGGGGGACAGAAGGGGCAGCTGGCCCAGAGACCAGGGCTCTGCCCTTGACCGATTTGCTGTGGGACCTTGGGCAAGTCCCCTGTTCCTTGGGGCCTCAGTTTCCCTGCTATAAGTGGGAATGTTGGGTTAGAGTCTTAAGAATCTCTGTGGCCTCCCATGGTGCTCCAAAAGGACAGAGCCTGAGAGTCTCAGACTTTGTGGGAGCTGGGGAGGGAGGTTTGAGCATGGGCTGAGATGATTCCAGTCTCTGGCTTTGCCACTTCACTAGTGGGGTGACCTTGAGCAAGTCAATTTCCCTCTATGAGACTCAGTTTTCCCATCTACAAAATGGAAAGTTGCTCCTGCAGAGATTAGTTATGCCAGGTACCCAGGCGCATGGTGTGGAATGGGCCCCTAATAAATGGTACTCCAACTGGCCCCCAGAAGCTGTTGTTTAAAAGGAGGAGGCCATTATTCAGGTCCTGGCCTCAAGATCAAAACGGAGCCGCTGGAAGGTTAATGAGAAGAGGATATTGGGCAAGAGTGGGAGGGGGCAGCTGCCAAGTGGGCGGGGACCGGAAGAGCTTTCCCGCTCCCCCTCTCTCCCTGCCCCCCCCCACCCTGGGTTTCAGATGCTGCAGCTGAGAAGCTGGGGGCCCCAGGTTCCCCACTAAACGTCCGATGCCTGGATGTGAACAGAGACTGCCTCATCCTGACCTGGACCCCACCCAGTGACACCCGGGGCAGCCCCATCACCGGCTACTCCATTGAGCTGTGAGTCGGCCCCTTGAGTGGCAGAGCCCCAGAGGTAGACCTTGCCCAGTTGTAAGGGCAAGAATGGACGCCACAGGAAGGAGGGAGCCCCACGCCCAGCCTCCAAGCAGGGCAGGTGGTAGACTGTGTTGTGTAATGTAGGGACAGTGGAAAGGTGTTCACTGATACCTGGAATTCCAGCGCTGGAGTCAGCCACTGCCCCCTGGAACGTTTGCAGCAGGAGCTGACCCTGGGAGGGGCAAACGCTAAGTGCCTGAAACCTGAACACAAGTGCATTTGTTGGCTACTTTCCTCCCTGAGTGACATACAGGGATGGAGTAGCACTGACCCCGGAGGGAGGGGGCGCACCACAAAGGGGGAGGGTCCAGGACACCCTGTCTCCTTCACGTGCAACCAGCTTAGAGGCCCTGGTTTGAGGTAATGCCTAATCCTGCCACGGAGGGCTCGGAGACTGTGTGCCTGGAGCTGCATGCCTTATTTCATTGAATCCTTACAATAAACCCTATTTAAGGTTCGTGCATCATTCTACATATGAAGAAACTGGGGTGCAATGTACCAAAGCCACATTGCTCATTAGTGGTGGTGTCAGGATTTGCACCCACATGTGACCACGACCCCATCTGGCTGGCAAAGTGTGCTATATGGACCTGGGACAATGGTGCTCAGAGGGCTCAGAGAGCCCAGACTCCCATGGTGCCAACTTAGGGAGTGGACAGCCCATGGGTGAAATCCTAACTTCACCGCTCAGAAGCCATGTGACCTTGAGCAGCCATCTCACACTCTAGGCCATGTGTCTCCCTTTGTGGAGTGATAGTAATCATCCCTAACTCCAAGGATCATTATGATTAAATGAGATAATGAATGGGAAGGGCTCAGTACAGCTCCAGGCAACAGGAAAGTTCCGTCATGCAAGGTGGAGGATGGCGCCCAGCCTCCTGGGGGCCCAAGGTTGGAGCCAGGCTTTTAAATGGAGAGCAGGACTTTAATGGGCGGGGACAAGCTGGGCAGGCAGCCCAGGGCTGGGAAACGGCCCTGGTAGAGGTTCAAACTGTGAACATGTGAGTCATGAGCAGGGGCTGAAGCTGGGGCCTCTCACCCACAGGTGCCAGGGCGAGTCTGAACAATGGGTGCCCTGCCATGAGGCCCCCGGCGGGACCTGTCGGTGCCCAATCCAAGGCCTCATCAAAGGTCAGAGCTATCGATTCCGGGTGAGAGCCCTCAACAAGGCAGGCAGCAGCGTCCCCTCCAAGGCCTCAGAGCCAGTTGTCATGGGTGACCATGTTGAAGCCCAGAGGAAGATAGGTGGGTACAGAAGTCCTGAAGGGACATTCTAGAGTATCAGTCAAAGCACACTCAGCACTGACTCACACCGGAGACAGGTGGCACAGCCACCATTCCAAGCCCTATTCCAAGGGGGGAGGCACAGCCCAGCCCTCAGGAACCCCTAATCTGATGGAGGACACACAGCCTCAGGAACCTGTAGTCTATTGGAGGAAACACAGTGCTGTCCTTAGGAGCCCCTTACCTGAGGGGAGAGGTACAGCCAATCTGAGGGAAGAAACACAAACCTGTCCACAGGAGATGCTAATCTGAGGGAGGGCCACAGCACCTTCTTCAGATGCCCTTAATCTGAAGGCAGAAAACAGCTCTGCCTCAGGACCCCCCGGCCTGGGAGTGGGCAGTGAGAGGACACAGCCCCCTCAGCCATGAGGAGGAGATCTGACTTAGGTTGGCCTCCTAGCCCCACCGTGCCCTAGGTACATGACCCCAGGCACACCACTTCTCCTCTCTGTCCCCATTTGTCCCAAGAAGAGAAAGCATCACTCAGCGTCTAAAGCAGCAGTGCTCCACTTTGGACCCCCGAGAATACTGGGGCCCAGGGAGGACCCGCCTGAGGTCACACAGTGAGGGGCTGAATCACCAAGGCAGAAACAAGGGGAGGAATCGGCACCTAGAGCAGTGCGGGTCCTTCCCTGACCCTGCTGACCCAGCCCCCACGTACCCTGCACCCCTACTTCTCCCCCAACTTGCTCCATTCTCCATCCTAGAGATCCCCTTTGATCTGGGAAACAAGATCACGGTCAGCACAGATGATTTTGAAGGTATGTGTGAGCATCCTGACACTTTGCCTCAAGACTCCAGCCCACTTTATGGTTCTGGAAACTCTGGAACACACACTGGCAGACAAGAAGCTGTGCGTGTACAGGGGGTGGGGAGGGGCCTCATCGGAGGAGCCAGGGCTCTCCAGTGATTGCGGCCCATCTTGCCAGGCCCCTCGTGGAGGAGGTAGAAAGTCCTGGGCAGGACGTCAGGAGGCCTGGGTTCCGGCTCCAGCTCTGCCCGGCCTTGCTGGGTGACCTGGAGCAAGTTCCTGACCCTCTCTGGGCCCCAGTTCCCTCCTCTATGAAATGAGGGGCTGAGATGAGGGGTCTCGGAGGGCCCACCCATCTCTTCCCCTGGATGACTCTGATTCTAGACTTTGTGACCATCCCTTCACCCCCGACCAATGTCCACGCCAGTGAGATCCGTGAAGTCTACGCAGTTCTGGGCTGGGAGGAACCAAGACCCCGGGGCAAAGCCCCACTGACATACTCCCTGGAGAAGGTACGGAGACCCCAAGACCCCCAGCTGTGGATAGGCTGAGAAATAGACGTGCTGTTGGACCAGGGATGGGGGGCCATTCAGGGAAGCGCTAAGAGACCCCAGGCAGTATCCCCTGGGGAGGCCTTCAGAGCACAGAAGAGCGTTCCCTGCCTGGGAGGGCCTGAGCATGACTCTACACAGAAGCAGGGGGATGGATTAAATGACCTTTTGAGGTTACCTCCAGCCCTGAGAGGCCAGTTATTGATGGCAGTTTGTGAGGCTGTTCATGGAAACACACAATATTAGAGACACAGACAACAATAACACCAGTAAGATCCAGTCTTTCCTGGGTACCTCCCCACCCCCAAGTCTGGCTGGCGTCGGGCCACACATCAGGTCGAGCATGTCTTCTTGGCCAGAGCCATGTTGGAAGGGAAGCTAGGCTGGTCCCCACCAGCCAGGGTCATGCCTGGTGGCACTCACAGGGCATGGGGGGTGGGGGGGTGCGCTAGGAGGCATTTCTCACTGGGGACAGAGTGGGGACAGATGTCTGGGGAGGGGGCATCTGTGTGGAGTGGATTTCATAGTGGAGGAGAGGCAGCATGGCAGAGTGAGAAACAGCCTGGCGTTAAGATCATTCCAATCCTGAATTGCGCTGTGTGAGACCGTCTCCTGACTTCTCTGAACCTGTTTCCTCCAGCATAGACAGGACAACCTGCCCTGTGAGGGTGAACTAAGACATGGCACGCAGCCGGGGCCAGCAGCCCTGGGCCTGTAAACCCTTCCCAAGGAGGTGCTCTTGACCCTGGCACATAGTAGGTAGACAGTACAGGGTTGGTTAGTGAATCGATAAATCAAAAAGTTCCGGGGAGGTGTCTCTGACTTGGTTGTCCAAAAGAGCGTCTCTGCACACTCAGGTGACCCTATTTCACTAACATAGGAAAGCAATCATAACTGAGGATTTGTTTTGTGAGGCTGCAGAGCATAAGGGTCAAAACCTTGGAGTCAGACTGCCTGGGTTCAAATCTTGTCTTGTTCCTTATGGGTGGTATGACCTTGGGTAAGTTATTTAGTCTCTCTGTGCCTCAGTTTCTTCTTCTGCGCAATAGAGACAATAATTGTACATACCTTCTAGGGTCAATATGAGGATCAAATTAATTAAAGCACATAAGACTTAGACCAGAAGCTGGCACATAGTAGGTGCTCGGCAGTGCTCACTGGTTTTTATAGCGATTTCTTGGCCTCGCTGGGCGCTAGGCCACTGACAGCCGGGTGGGCCTTGGGGTGGGAAAGATCTAGGAGAGCAGGGTCAGTGGGTCCCCTGGTGCTTCCAGGACTTAACGCTCGTACCCGACTCAGCAGAAGTGGCTTCTGGGTGCCTCACTCGCCTTCACCCCCTATCTGCCCAGATATGCAGAATGTATGGCCGCCTATGGGGCCCCTGACACTGTGGAGAGTGAGCAGGTTTGGAGACATCCACCCCTGAGCTCAATACTAAATATACCAGTTATTAGATACATGACTTTCAGCCAAGTTACCAAAACTCCCTGAACCTGAGTTTCCTCATTGGTGGGGAAATGAACACATACCTTGCACGGTTTTGTGAGACTTCATCTATTTACTCATTTATTTGTCTCACAAACATAGATTGAGCACCTCCCATGGGCCAATACTGTTCTTGGCTCTGGGTACCAACAAACCCCTGCCTCTGGAGCTAACGTTCAAGTAGGGGATGGGAACCAATGATAAACAAGATAAATGAATAAAATATTTAGCACAGTACCTAATGGTAGCGCTGAGGAGAAAGACATAAAGCAGGGAGGGGATTTGAAGTGTTGAGGGGAGGGGCTGCTGACATTTGATGAAAGGACTAGGGAGGCCTCCCCTAGGTGAGTTTTGAACAAAGTCCTAAAGGAAATGAGGAGCCAGCCAAGCGGTTTCAGGGGGCAAAGCACTGGGTGGAGGAGGGAGGGACTAGCAATTGCAGAGGCCCAGAGGCAGGGGTTGGGCCTGGCACCGCCATTAAGCAGCAGGGGACACAGAGCCATGGGGAGGTGGACAAAGGGGAGCATGGAATGTGACCAAACAAGTAGCAGGGGTCAGGCCCTGGAGAAGCTCCCTCTCCAAGGGAGATGTGGGGCTTGGAATCGTTCTGAGCAGACCAGACCAGGATGTGATCTGATGTGTCGTTAAAATATCCCTGAGTGGGCGGCTGGTTAGCTCAGGTGGTTGGAGCGCAGTGCTCTTAACACCAAGGTTGCCAGTTCGATCCCCACACGGGCCACGGAACTGCCCCCTCCACAACTAAATTGAAGACAACTACTTGACTTGGAGCTGATAGATCCTGGGAAAACACACTGTTCCCCAATAGAAGTTAAAAAAAAAAATCCTTCAGACTATCATTTGGAGATGAGAAGACTGAAGGGGGTTAAAGGTAGAAACAGGCAGACCCGTTAGGAGGCTATTAAAATAACTCAGGTAAGAGACGGTGGTGGCTTGGATCAAGGCTGTGACGGGGGACATTAGGGTGGTACGTCACGGTTGAATTCTGGAAACATTTTGAAGGTAGAGCCAACTGGATTTGTTGATGGGGCATATCTGGGGTGTGAGGGAAAGAGGAAAAGAGTCCAGGATGGCTTCAAGGGTTTGGGCCTAAGCGGCTGGAAGGATGGGCGCCACTGACTCAGTGTGGGCAGCTTTGCTGTGGGGAGGAGCTCCAGGGTCAAGCTCTGGACATGTTGAATGTGAGATGCTCAGTAGGCATCCAGGTAGAGATGGCGAGGAGGCGGGTGTTTCCAGAGCTCAGGAGTTCCAGGGCAGCCTGGCTGGGATAGAAGTTATTGAGAGCCTGTGTGGGAAGTGCCCAGGCAGCCACTTAACCAATGCAAGTTTCTCTCCTTTGTCACAGTCAGTCATAGGTAGCGGCACCTGGGAGGCCATCAGCACAGAAACTCCTGTGAAATCCCCGAGATTCGCCCTTTTGGATCTGGAGAAAGGGAAGTCTTATGTCTTCAGAGTACGAGCGATGAACCAATATGGCATGAGCGACCCCTCGGAGCCCAGCGAACCCATCGCCTTGAGGGGGAAGCCAGGTACCTACCTGTGTGATGCAGGAGACGGGGGCAGGCCAGGCTGAGCAGGTCTGTCAGCCTCCAGGGCTACAGGGACAGAGCCATGCCTGTTTCCCTGTCCCTGACCTCTCCTACCTACCATAAAGCTGAAAAGCAACATGATCTCAGGGCTGTGAAGTGTTAGGACATCAGGAATTACATTTCTCTGGGCAGGAGGCTCATGGAAGTACAAACATTATTTTTCCCCCTAGAACAACACTTCACAGATTGCAGAATCCAGTTGGGTCCAGCACAGGTGCTGAGTGTGACCAAGCGGTCCCATAGTTCTAAAGGTTTCCACCCAGCTCCCAGTCCTGCCTTGTGCAGCCAGAAGTGAGCCTCCTGAGCAGGCCTCCTGCCCCGTCCTTGGTGGGGGCTGAGCTGTGCCACCCTGAACCCTGGCTCACCTGGTGGGACACTTCTCATCTGCAGCACAGCATGGGCCTGGGCAAGTCACTCCTGAGCTGCAAACCTGGGTGTCCTCACCAGCCAAATGAATATATATATTCATAACAAATATGAATGAGTTGGTGGACAAGTGGTGTTTTTCTTTAATTCTGGTTCAGTTCACATTTAGGCTTGATTTAGGGCCTGGCCACTGAGTGGTTTGTAATTGGACGTGAGCAGCCTCTGGACCACAAGCCAGCTTTGGGGCAAGGTTCTAGTACAGTTCATCAAAGGAAGGGAGAGGAAAAGAGGGGAGATGAGGGGGTGGGAAGAGAGGGGAGAAAAAAAAGAGAAGGGATTTTTTTGTATTATAAAAGTAAATTTATATAAAAGTGGGAAATGCAAAAAAGTGAGAGAGGAAGGAAGGGAGAGAGGGATGGAGGGATGGAGGGAGGGAGGAAGGAAGGGAGGAAGGAAGGGAGGAAGGAAGGAAGGAAGGAAGGAAGGAAGGAAGGAAGGAAGGAAGGAA